ACACTTGAACTACTAGTGTTACTTTGTTACTTCTCAGAATCACTCTTTTTCACTGCTGGGAAGGAGAAGCATTCTTTCAGTGTCCTTATCTCACCCTTGTGCACTTTCAAAGTGAACCCTTCAAAAGAACATACCTGGAAAAATGTCATCATTGGCTTTTTTTTTTTTTTTTTAGAAAAACATAAATGCACCTTTTATGAATGAAAAAGAATGAAAGTTATTTCATAAATTAGGGTTAAAGTAAAATTTCACTTTTCATTCTCAAAGGCGCTGTTATCAAGCTGCTTGAAACTGCACCATGTTTGGTATAAGCCATAAAATGAAAGACTCCACAGGTTACATAAAGGGATCAGCAATGAAGATCAGCTCAATTCTATGAATCTTTCATTGGAACCTAGCTGGAGACTTGCTCCTCATGAAATGTCCATGGTATTCACTTAGACTATCAATGCCTACACAATAATTCTGAGCCAAGAAGTCCTGCATCCCAGACAAATTTACTTATCTTTGTTTTCCTAATGCCACTCCACATGTTATATTGCACTCTTGTAAATACAACTTAATTTCATTAATAAGATAGTATCCTCTATTTGAAAGGATCTATTTTAGTAACTCCAGTTTGTATGAAAGCAAAATTTCAAAGTACTCTTAATTGCAGTAAAAAAAAAAAAAGTCTAGTTAAGCCATAACTCTAGAATTTGGGACAGGTTTTCAAGATATTCATGTATTTAATTTTCAAAAACTTCTACATGGATCAGGTAACTAAGTCTTTATCAAGGTGAATCTGAGTCAGGAAACAGTCTCTTGCATGTCCCTTATAGTCTCTTACATGCTCCTCAGCATTCTACTAGGTGCTATCTTTTTTTTAAAGGTCACAAGCATACTTGAAGCAGAATTGTCCAGTATTCATGTAGTATAGAAAGCAGATGACTAATGAAGTTTGTAGTTGAAAGTTATCTCAAGAGATCATCTAATACATTCCCTTATGCTGAGGCAGAATCAAGAATGTGTACATCTAACATGGTCTCTACATTCCATCCAAAATAGAAAATTCTGCAGTGATGTTGCCTGGCCAGAGCAAAACAATAGCTGCCAAACAGTAGTGAAGGTTTTCTATAGCACCAAGCTTCAGTCTTCTTTAGTGACAATTTATTCTTCTCTCATGACTTCTACTTATTTTTCTGTATTACAAAATTACAATCCGTCATTGTATTGCTGGAGAAGTTTTGGCAAAATTAAAATCAATTTTCTTCCAAAGGATTGTGCATATGTATTATACATTTTAAATGAAAACTCATTTTGAAACATCACATAGATTTTTAGATCATTTACTTAAATTTTTTTTCTCATCAGAAGCAAAATGCCACTGAAATCAGTATAAAACAGTAAATTAAAGCACATGGCTGCTGATGTATTCAAACACCTTGAAGGAAGAAAAATAGCCCTCTGGCAGAAAATCTATTAATATTGTATCAGATAAATTCCTGGGTCCATGGGAATATTTTTTGCTTTTTTGAAAGCACAGGGTTGTGTATTTTTTTATCTTAATCATTTTTTTTTTTTTGTTAATAATTCAACGTTTTCTTTCTTTTCCTCTTCTGCAAGAGTTTACATGATACTCCAGTAAGAAACAGGTATTCTGAACAGGTGTATGTTTGTGACACGCATTTCTGTTAGCAGTCTGAGGAAACACACTGCCTGGTAATTGGCAAACCAGCATTTTCAGATTCCTAATTCAGTTCAGAGGACTGTAAAATGCTGGAAGCTTACACTCAGTATTATCTAAGCTCCATGAGCCTTGCGTTAGCAAAACTATTTCACTTTCCAAAAGAACCAATTTTTCCAAGGTATTCAAAGTTTGCTGTCTCTAGATAGGAATGCATTAGGGCAGTTGCTTTTCTATGGTATTACGTAATTACTTACTTGTAACAATATAATTTTAAAACAGTAATGTAATAAATTATTTTTACTACATTTTCAGGCTTTGAAAAGAACGAAACGCTGCCAGACCTCATTTGGTAGCAGCGTACCCACGCCTAGAACTAAAATAATAAAACAAATCCCCGAAGTCCCATTTTAACATAAGTGTACAGAAAGGTTGCACCAATGGGCAGAGACTAGAAGGGAAGGAAATAAACTGGTGATTGATATGATTGGTGGTTGCTCCAACAAAACAGTGACTGAAATATTACTGAAACACAAGACACTTTAGCTAGATCTACTGATCAGACTTTTAAGAAGCAACACAGATTATCTGGGGTACCAGTGGGAAAGAAGTTAAAGACCACATGTTCTTGTCTGTCCCAGTCTGTAGTTAAGCCAGAGTGCACCTGTATTGCATACATATCTACCTCTGTAATGATTTTTGCACTTCTCATTCTGGTCCCTCTTTCTTTTAAAAGATAAAACTACTAAAATAGGTGACTACATGCTTCTGCATGCAGTCTAAACAGGTGTAATTTTAATCGAAAAGCGATTTTTACTTGCATATTTAGAAGATAATATGGTGCATTCAGTTTATGTGGGATACATTTTTAATGATGAAAAAGAACCTTAAGTAAATCTGTGAAGAATATTATCCATCATTTTCCCCAAACCCTGACACGATTTGATTCAAACACGTCAGCCACATTGTAGTTCATTTTCCTAATCTATACATTAAAGACACTAATGTTGCTCAAAGAAAATTGATCACCCAATGTTAAAAGAAGCAAATAATATTAATATTGTCAGCAGTGTGGAAGTCCAAATTCCTTGAACTGTTTCCAGAGGTGTGCTCTGATGGTCCTTCCTCTCTTTTCACTGTGGCACAGGCCGCAGTTTGTAATCCCAGATCAAAAAAACACAGGTTTTAAGTGGCACATGTGTTTCTCAGTTCTTTGAAAGTCCAAAGCTCAGATGTGATCTTTCCTGAAATCATATTCAACATGTGCTGAAGTGTAAGGGAGGAAATGAAGAGCTTTAGTTTAATAAGATTCATCTTTATTTGCTTATAATTTGGCCTAGAGCAGAGCTCGAGTCTGTAAACTGTAACCAGAGCTCCATTCCTGTTTTTCAGAGCAACATAGGGTCACTGTATGGAAATTTGTGCTCAGAGATCTATTATGAAGAATTAAGTAGGATTTTTCTTTCCACAGGTGTTTTATATAAATAAGAAAAATCTATCCTTCCTTAATATAAAAAATCCCCAAGCTGCTGGATTTCCAATGATTAAAAAATACAAAAAAAAAAAAAACAACAAACCCAAACCAAACACACTTCGTAATGGCTGAGCTTTAAAGAAAATCTTGATCCATTTTCCAAGGTAACTATTTTTTCAGCCATGGGGTTATAGAAACATTTTCCTGTAGTAAGACATTCTCATTCGTAGTTGAGCCATTTTCTCAAAACGTATACTATGTTGTTCTAGTTTAAAATTATCTGTTGTTGCCGCAGGTGTGTTCTGAAAACAGGATTTCGTTTTCATCAGATGGCTATTAATAATTGTACAGACTGTGAGTATGGGGTGTAATATTACATGCAGGCCTGTGTTTAAAAATAAAAACTGTAATTTTGTGCCAAAATGCTTGATATTTCATATCATTAAGATGAAAAAAAATTGCTTCCTTAAATATAAATGCAGGTGTATGTACTTCAAGGATAAAGGTGGTGTTGGTATAGACACACAGCCACAATAATTTCATACCTTTGAAAAATATTTTAAGTTTCAGTTGTAAAAATCCCAGCAGAAATAATCACCTGTTTCTGTCTTTTCTTTGGTCATTTCATCCATAGAAAATTAAATAGAGAAAGAAAAGGAGGTAAACTTATAATACCAAGAGTTATCTTTATTTCATATCATCTCTTTTCAGTTGTGCTGTTCTTTTAGCTTTGAAATTACAGATGGTGGTTGCACTATAGAGATCCTGAAAGCATCATGTAGGTTTAAGCACCAGACTGGCAGAATCCCAACTGCTATCTAACAATCAAGTTTTGATTCAATTCAATCTTGATTTTTTCCTCTTTCTAATTATTTTTTTACTTCCACTGTAGTGGAGACAAGTTCTGAGGGTTTTTTGTAGTAGTATAAGAAATAAAGGAACATAGCTACTACTACCAACATTTTTCCTTCTCTCTAGCTTCCCAGTCTGCAGAAGTTTCACAGGTTCTATTTTATGAGGATTATTGGGATGATGAATAAAACCTATGAAGTTTATTTTAGTCTTCAAGTCTTCTGTTGGAGCTTTCAAAATAGTCATTTGGGTTTACAAACTTTGACAGTACTTTGGCAGCACTGCTTGGTACTTTTCTACAAAACAGGTACCTTTCCACAGAAGCTTGAATTATGCAAGCAAACTGATTACGTTATGAAAAAATGCCTGTAGAGTTTCTCATAGATCAAACTAGTCAGTAGAACAGAAACACCATGTTTTTGCCCCTTTCTGCTGCCAGATACTCCGGCCCTGACAGACAATGGACCACTGCATGCTCCTTTGCCCTCCTTATTTCCCAAGAAGCTGCACATACAGGTACCCTGCTCCATGGCCTGCATATCCAGCCACAAGGCTGAACCAGGGCAGGATGCTCTCAGGGTGAAATATTCTCACAGCATAAGAGGAAATCTGCAACGAATTTTGCAAGCTACTGTTTTATGGTAACTTGATGTAGACTGTATTTCCTTACATTAACTCACAAGTGGTCAACAGGACAGAGATAGACCTTAATAAGGCCTACCAAGTTTGTCCTGAACCACTTCCTTAATTATTCTACTAATTGGAACTTACTAGGTTCCAATCAAAAGATGAAACCCAGGCATTCTTGTACTCTAATACTCCTTTATTTTGAGCTAGTTTCTGATGTGAATTGATGGACCAGGTCCACAAACACCTGTTCTGAGTAAAAATCTCTGTAGAGTAAATGCAACCTGAATTAGAAATCTCAGCACAAATACTCCAGGACCTGTGGGAGTAATGACTTTTATCTGGGTCTTTCTTTCTGAAGATAGATTGTCCCCAGGACTGTCCGTGACTCCATGGGTACTTCTGCTCCAGCAAACCACAGAAGGCCCCTGAATCCAGGGAATCCAGGTGCCAGTCAGTTCTTTGTTAAGGTGAGAACTCCTTTCCTCTCCCTTCCCAGATGTCCTTGGAAGGAAGACAGCAAAGCAAACCATGCTTCAAGCAGATGCCTGTTGCAGTTAGATAATTCTGGAGCATGCTGTGGGGGCTCTGCCAGTCCTCTATGTCCCTCTTGTCTTCTCTAGAATAAGGACCACTGGTTTAGAGATGACTTCTTGCCTTGCTTTAAACAATTTTAGCAGGATGGGTGGTGTCAATATGTGTTATTTGCTAATGTTTTCTTCAACTCATTTTTTTGTCCTTTCTCCAGACTGACCTGCTGTTACTCTTAATAATGTCAATATGCTTACTTCACTTTCTGAAAATAGGTTTTCTTTATAATTATAAATTGTCCTGGGTTCAGCAGTAGCAGTCATTTTTTCTCCTTCTTGGTAGCTGGTGCAGTGCAGTGTTGTGACTTTCAGCTCGCGAACAGAGCTGATAATGTTTTGGTTTGGCCAAGGACTTTGTGAGCCTCATGCTCTGCCAGGGAGGAGGGGAAGCCAGGAGGAAGCAGAGACAGGACACCTGACCCAAACTGACCAAAGAGGTATTCCATACCACAGCACGTCATGCCCAGGATGTAACTGGGAGTTAGCCGGAAGGGCTGGGAGACTGCAGGGTTGGAGGAGGTATCGGTCAGAGCTTGGTCGGGCTGGGGGGGTGAGTTATCGGTCGGCTGGTGGTGAGATGATGTATTCTCTTCCCTTGTTATTTCCTTTATCATTATTATCATTGGTGGTAGCAGTAGTGATTTGTGTTATACCTTAGTTACTAAACTGTTCTTATCTCAACCTGTGGGAGTTGCATTCTTTTCGATTTTCCTCTCCGTCCCTCCAAGAGCAGGGGGAGGGCAAGAAAAGGGGGGGAAAGTGAGCGAACGAATTACCTGGCTGGGTTTAAACCACGACATAAATACACAGAGATCCTGCTAATTTAATTGTTTTAGCACTGAGAGAGTTCTTCTATTGTGCTAGTTGTATGTTAGGGTACCCAGAGGCTATAGAAGCATTTCTGGTATTATTGTTTAAATCAAAATAAATATGATAAAGACAGAAAGTTACCTGTTAACTAAGAACCTTGAAAACATATTTATACACATGCCTTCTCCTGCAGCCATGAAACTGCAGCAAATCTAAAAAAATGTAGCAAATGAAAATTTTGGATTGTGATTAGTTCAAATATCTATCAGAAGCTAACTGTGACTTTTCAGCTTTTAATTAAACCGTAGGTGGTACTTTTTTCCCCTCCCTACGTATATTTTGTTATTATCAAGGATGGAAAGCCTAAAATGCTTCAGAATTGTGCTTTGTCTCACGAACACCTCTGACCTGGCACTCTTGGAATGATGGCAAGTCTGTGGTTGGCTGTGACTTAGCTTAGTGAACTTACTGGGGCTGGAAATCATGGACTGTAACTAAGGCGATAGACCATTCATGGGTTTAATTCCCTAATGTTCAGGGATCTTCCCTCAAAGAGTTTGCTTTTAGAGGATCTTGTGGGACTTCAAAGAATGTGAGGTTTGTGGAAAATAGGAAAATGTAGAAAAAATATGCAAACCCTAATGCAAATACATTGCTTTTTGTCAACTTTTCGAAGTGTGGACAGCATGTTACAGCTTACTTTTGAGAAAGAGAACTTAGTTTTTCAGCCATAACCCTTTATGTTACTTCAGCAGGAAAAGGATCTGTTTTCTGTCTCCTGTTTCAGCTTTTAAAATATGGCATGTAAGAGGAACTCCATTTCTTATGTCAGCCTGCAAGAGTAAATACTGTATATTATATATGCCTCCTACTTATGCAGAGTTTCATGATATGATTTTGCTTGATGCAGTAGTATATTAAAATGTAAAAAAAATTGCAACAATGTTAAAACATTTAAAAAGAAGAAGTAAAAAGAAAAAAAAAAAGAATCCTGGAAGAGTTTTAGAGGCACATACTCTGTGTTTCTCTCCCTTGCATTTCAGGCAGGCACACTTCCTAGACCTGTGAATGCAGACTTGGCTCATTCCTCCAAAGCCACATCTAAATACTAGCCCACATGGAGGAGATTTTAGCTATCTCTGCCACACAGTCCTTCATGTGACGAGGCTTTTCTGAGGATTTGAGCGGGTAGGGAAGAAGACAGTGAAATGGTCAGCACCCACCGAAGAGTTTGGCAGGCCAGGGAGAAACACAAACCCCAGCTGCAATCAGGTGTGGCAGTCTGAGAGTCCAGCTGCTTCTTCAGCTTTTATTTTTATACCTGTGTTTCTAAAGAGCAGCACACATGATTTTTTCAGAAAGCTTGCAATAAACTTGCACACCCATCTGTGGCACTCTGTAGCATTTTATCCACCTTCAAGAAAAGAGGAGCCAAATCCCAGAGTCCATTTGAGGAGGACTCCTGTGTGGGATCTCAGGTTCCACAGCTCTGGTCACAGGTAAGAAAAAGTGGGCAAAATGAGGCATAATAATTACCTACTAGTGTTTCCCCTAAGTGTGATTATTCCTTATTTAATCATCTCTCTGGCTTTGTTCATATGGCTCCTTCCAAGACTTATAGTTGTTTTGTTCTCTGTTTTGCTCATTTTTCCCATCAGTTACAAATTCTTGTAAAGTTCAGTAACATAAGTGGGGATTCTGCTTATTCATAACAATTTATTAAGCCATGCAAAGATAGTTTTATTTTAAAAGTTTTTAGTTTGTATCTCATATTTTCCTAAGCAGTAGTAAATGCAAATGGCTTATACAATCAGCTGTATCCGCTTAGACTTGCTGAATTGTAAGGAGTCATGTTACAAAAGAACGCAGAGCTATTCCAGGCAACACTCTAAATTTATGGTATAATGATGCCAGATTACAATGGAATTGCAAAGGAAGTGCTTAGGACATCAAAAATTAATACTTAGCGAGTCCATTTTTTTCATAGTGATGATTATAAGTATTCACTCCATGTTTGAACGTAATCCGCTCAGAACAGCAGTTTACTAAATGCCTAGAGATTACTGAACAAAATACAAGTTGAGGTAATATTTGAGTTTTCATTGAGCAAATAACTATCATTTTCTTTTCAATCAAGAATAAAATTGCAATCTTACAGGAGTTATTAAGTTTCAGTGCGTACAAATGGGAACTTGACATTTATACTCTGAGCAATCCAGAGGCTCAAAAAGGAGAATAAATATGTCACCCTGTACTTTTCTTAGTTATGAGAACAAATGCATTATATAATTCCAGGGGCTGTTACTTAAATATTAAGATATTGACCAAATGTCCAGAGAGGCAGCTATGCTACTGAGTCCCACGTGGTCCTGGACAGCTACCTTACTGTAAATACATACTCATGCATGAAGGCAATAAACGGCCATCCCTCAGCCAAAGAAAGGATGGAGGGAGGGATTCAGCCTCTCTCTGGTCAGGCCTGACTGCGTTCCTCCCAAACAAGAACCAAACCTTTACGTTGAACACTTCAAATGAAAGTTTCACAACCTCTGCCTTATAATCTATTTGTTACATTCATATTATGTACCTATTTTATTTCAAGTAACAGAGTTGTTATAAATATTTATTTTTAATAATGAAGCACACTTCTGGGCACACTTAGCCACAATTCATGTATGCTCTATTCAGTACTATCTGTGCAGCTCTTCACATCAAAAGAAAAGCATACAACTTAATCAATCGTAACCTTAGCTATACACCAGGAGGGCTGTTGATCCTAAATGTAAAGAAATCATCCTGACTTCATTTGCCTATTATTTCAGATTTCACAGTCTCATGCAAAATGCAAAAGTCATATAGTTTATTTTAGCTGCAATCATAAAACTGAATTGTTTCTAGCCATACTTTTTGCTAATTTGTGATGCAGTAAATTTATTTCAGTCAGTTTTGTGCCACAGCTCCTTGTATGCATTTACATACAACTCCAGACAAGCAACTATTAGAAACGAAAAAGCATTCAGCAGAGATGGTGGTGGTGTATAGTGTACCTCTACTGATTAGGCCAGTGTTTACTGTGGTTAATGTGCAATTTATTCAAAATGCAAGAGAAGTATAAAGAAGTCACTAACTGTTTTTGTGTTGAGCTATGAATTTCCTTCCTTATTTTTGCCCATTTTGATTTGGAAATTTTTCCTGCCTGTGTTACTCAGGAGGTAGATAGTATAAATGCAGTGTAAGACATTATTGAAACAAGCCCACTTAACTTTGAGGTTTGACATTTTTTTTCCCCTAGTCTCCTCTTAATGATCTGGTAGCATGTTGCTACTGGAGAGAAATGAATCTCTGGTAACTAAAGGTCTGATGCCCTGGGCTGCATGGGCTGATGTACTGAGCAGGCCTGGGGAGAAAAGAGAAGGGTGGTGCTTTCTCAGTTTTAAGAGTGGTCTTACAAAAGAAGGGTTTTTGAAATAGCAAGTCTGAAGCAGCATGTTACTAACCTCCCATTCAGTGAGTCTGGAGAAAACAAAAGAAACAAAACAGGCTCTTGAATATTTGATGTGGCTGAACAAACTCGGAATGACCTGAGGAAGATGAGAAGTCGCCACAGTTAATGCTCCCAAAATACAGAAAACCTCAGTAGTCCTTAAAAGCAATTAAAGAGCTTTTACCATCTGTTAAGTAATTACCTATCATCATTAGTTATTAGAAGTATGAAATGATGTAAAGGGTACCAACATAATATAAAAACAACAGCCAGATTCTTGTGGGTTTTTTGGATGAGGTCATAAAAACTTGGTTATCAATACTGAAATAAAAATTACATTTACTAGTGGTTTTGCAGCTGCTTCACTTAAAAAATAAAAGCATTACATTTTTCCTAACAGTAAATATTTAGCTTGATTCTTGCAGTTATTACTAGTATGATACAAAGTTTATTATAATATTAATTTCCAAAACCCACCATGGATGATAAAGATTTAGCTAAACCCAATTATGGAAAACACAGTTTGAGGATCACAACTTGGAACAGATTAAAAGCAAGTAACCAAAACCCCCAAAGCTATGTGTGCTTTTAAGCTTCACGGCTCTGCACACAGACATATGCAGACATTCTTACTTATGTATCAATATGGGTTTCTATTTCCCTAATCTCTAAATCTAATTTCTTTGCCCCCAGTTCTTAGTCAAAAAAGGTTCCCTAAAATGTAATTTTTTCAAGATATTAACTACATATCTTCAAACTTTCTACATGAATTTAAGTCTACAGGTCTGAGGTTGCACAGCGATCCTCTTGGTATGTATTTTGCCAGCTTTTAATCGTATTTTGCTTAGAGAATGGTCACTGATTCAAGTTGGTATATCTCACTGCAAATTCATAGTGCACAATCGAGTTATACAGATGCATGAAAGCTCTGTTCTGGACAATTTTTTAAATGTGCTTTCAGCTGCTCAAAAAAAAATCCCTTCTAGAAACTGATGTGGTTTTCCAGTAAGGGAGGATAATTTTGTATCAATCAAGAAAACTCTGCGGAGTGCAGGTTATTTTTAATATATTCAAATTTGGAATTTTTTAATGGTACCTATTTACTCTCAGGTTCTTTGTTGGAAAAATCCTTGTAGACACATTTTTTGACCTCCCAAAAGGTCACCAACAAACAACCTGTCCTGAATGTTTAGTTCAATACAGCAGTGTGAGATAGTACCCATATCAAAAGCAAACAATGACCAAGCAAATGGCATAATCCTATTTTATCTGACTTGCTTTTCTATCCAGGAGGGAGATGACATGTCTTCCCTGGCCTTATGGGATCCCTAGCACCGACCACAGATGGGAGCAGCTTGGGGACTGCCCACCATCATCCACCTTTCAGGACCCTCTGTATGAGGCTAGTGGATCTGTGGCTGCAGGTATGAAGGACTGCAATGTCTGGGCCTGTAGGTATGGTCTTCTTTTCTTCTGGTGGTCTGTTACAAAATATAGTGGATAACAGTGGAGTATTTTGCTCTTTTGAATACTTATTTCTCTGTGCAGATTTATATTACTTGTGTCGATATATGAAGTGTGTTAAATATAAAATGTACCACATATTAAAAAAATGAAACAAAACACACACACACACAAAAAAAACCCAAAACAAAATAAAACCAAAAAAACCCACCCCAACAAACAATTTTATTTTGGTTTTGGCAACTGTAAGTGTAAACATTTAGGTAAAGAACAGAGATGTTAGGTTTTGTTGCCAGAATCTTACTCGTAAGGTACCTTATCCCATTATTTTTTCTATCTGTTCCATCTTTTGGATATTATTGCAGCAGCTTAAGAGTTTGATTGATTTCCACCAAGGCATAGGAAGAGAATGTGAGAAGAGTCAGAACTGCTTAAAGTCACAATCTTAACTGCTGAAATACTCTATGAAAATTGTTTCTGAATTTATGTTCAAAATCCTCCACCTGGTTTGCTGAATGAGGAGGAAAAGGGAGCAGGGGATTTTTCTGTCAGTTCTCCACAAGCACAGCTCTATTGAATATTTAAATACAGCATTTGCAGGCAGTGCATGTAATTATACCTTTTTTTTCTGGTGAACAACAATTTACAAAAGATTACATTTACCTTTTTATTAGAATAACACAAAATATCAAACAAGCACTGAATGGTATTTCATGTAAGTTGATGCTATTTTCTCTCTTAATCAAAGCTGCTTGCAAGTTACACCATCTTTGTTGCTTCAAACCCCAATAGCAGTTTTGGTAGATATGTTAAAGGCAGCGTGTTGTCTGGGTGATGGCAGTAGTAAAGAAACCCAGAACAAAGGCAGTATTTGCGTAAGTGAGCACCTTTTAATCTGCATTCAGACACCTAACCAAACTGTTCGCACAAGCAGCTTTGTTCTGCAGAATGGCTATGTCTACATGGACAGCTTAATCTGCTCTCAGACTCCCCATGCACTTGAAGCACATCTCCAGTCCCTGAATAAGTTTCTGGCTGGTGCAGAGCCTCAGTCCAGGAGGCTGATTTGTGGACCTTCAGGAAGAGTGGGCCAGCCCTTGATGCCAGAGAACCAACCCTCCCTACTTAATATCCAGGAGTATATAAGAGTGGTGAAGCTGAAATGCTGACCTGGCGTTCAGGGGATCTTGCTCCTGGGAAGAGGAGCTATCCCACCAGCTCCCAGCGGCTCTCCCCAAAACCCACCTGAATTTCCAATTTCACCTCCAGAGCTTCTAGAGCACTGTCAGCAGTTTTCAGTCTTTCTGCATTTTGATTTGACAGCTATTTTCTCAGCACCTACCTGTTCAGACTGAAACTTAGACATATTTGCTTCCAAAACCTATTCTCCATGAACAGACCACTGGGTCTGTCCAGATTTCTTGGGAGAGATGGGGCCGATTGGCTTCTATTAATATAGATATACTGTAATATACTATATATCAGTTAGTGTAATTAGTTGGTTAGGACTGGAAAATGAGCTACTAGTAGAAGTTTTACTTTGAAATAAGCAGTGGATGCAAATTTAGCATGCCTGAAAATGGAAAGGGAGCTCAAGAACTGTGTGTTATGGCCATCTAGACACAGGCATGCAGTCCACATACATATAAGAGAGGTCATAAGGTTTTCTTGTTAATAAAAGAAAATATATCCATTAGCCCAATCAGGAGACTATACCTCAAAAATCATATTTTCATAATGGTAAGGCGCAGTGCATTTGGGGCTTGGGGTTTTGATTGTTAATTTCTTTCTTTGTTGCATGTTAACATATTTCTAGAAAAATGTAGATTCAAATTGAAGCTCTATGACTAGGTTTATATCATCCAACACTTTAGGATTTAACATGAGCATCAGTGTGAAGATTTAGAATGGGCATCCTATGAAGACCTTTATTTTTTTCTGGTGAGTATCCCACTCCTATATGAACAAAGAGCAAATCACTCATCCTGACTGAATATCCAAGACACCAGGATGGCCCATAATCCTGTGGAGATATCACCTCCTGTAATTTTGTACAATTTAAGTTCCTTTATTCTGAAAAATGTGCAAAAATAATTTTCGTTTGGGTTTATTGTTCTTTTTATCCCTAGAAAAATGGAGACAGGTTACCTCAGCAGTGGTTGAAGAAAGGACTCTAGTCAGGACATCTCAATGGCATTTGAAGGTAACAAAATAGCTATGTGATGAGTGAATCTGTGAGTTGGTACCAGCATCAAATCCCTTGACATATTCTCAGAAAGTTCGAAGTTGCAGCAAATTTGAAGCTGCGACAAAGAAGGTGTGGCAGTTGAAAAGCAAATATCAAAAATTAAATAAAATACATCTTTGAGTAGGCTGAACTCTAAATAATTAAAACTCACAAAATGTGTAAGAAGTGAACCAGAAATAATTGTTGGTACTAATATTTAAAAGCCATGAAATGCCTGCATATGTGTATGTTGGGGTTTTGTGTTTTTGTTTTTGTTTTTTTGTTGTTGGTTGGTTTTTTGTGTTTTGTTTTGTTTTGGTTTGGTTTTATTTTTAGGTGTCAGATTTGACCTGATAGAAAGTTATCATCCCCAGACTGGTGTTTCTGGAAGTGCCAGAAAGGCTGTGCTGCCATCCAGTGAGACCTGGACAGGCTGGAGAGTTGGGCAGGGAATAACTTGATGAAATATAACAAGGGAAAGTGTAGAGTCCTGCATCTGGGCAGGAACAACTCCAGGTTCCAGTATAGGTTGGGAAACGACCTGTTAGAGAGCAGTGTAGGGGAGAGGGACCTGGGGGTCCTAGTGGATGACAGAATGACCATGAGCCAGCACTGTGCCCTTGTGGCCAAGAAGGCCAATGGCATCCTGGGGTGTATTAGAAGGGGGGTGGTTAGTGGGTCGAGAGAGGTCCTCCTTCCCCTCTACTCTGCCCTGGTGAGACCGCATCTGGAATATTGTGTCCAGTTCTGGGCCCCTCAGTTCAAGAAGGACAGGGACCTGCTGGAGAGAGTCCAGCGCAGGGCAACGAAGATGATTAAGGCAGTGGAGCATCTCCCTTATGAGGAAAGACTGAGGGAGCTGGGTCTCTATAGTTTGGAGGAGAGGAGACTGAGGGGTGACCTTATTAGTGTATATAAATATATAAAGGGGGAGTGTCACGAGGATGGAGCCAGGCTCTACTCAGTGGCAAACAATGATAGGACAAGGGGTAATGGGTACAAACTGGAGCACAAGAGGTTCCACTTAAACTTGAGAAGAAACTTCTTCTCAGTGAGGGTGACGGAACACTGGAACAGGCTGCCCAGGGAGGTTGTGGAGTCTCCTTCCCTGGAGACATTCAAAACTGGCCTGGACACATTCCTGTGTAACATTATCTGGGTGTTCCTGCTCCGGCAGGGGGATTGGACTAGATGATCTTTTGAGGTCTCTTCCAATCTCTAGCATACTGTGATACTGTGAAAACACAGAAACTCAAACTGAGTGCTATCCTGTGAAGCGTTGGGTTAAGACGATGATGTAGTTGAGAGTAAGGATTTGTGGAGTAATGAGGGAGAGCAGCAGTGCTCTGTGATAACAGAAATAAAAACACAACCAGGGAATTACATTTCAATCTCTATCCACCAGAAGCAGTTGCCACAGGCAGCCTCAAAGGCTGCCAATGTGGAGTGAGAGTGCCCCAGAGCCACAACTGGCGCAGCTCTGGAGGCCAAGCTTGGGAAGTAGTGTTGTGCTTGTAAGGGAAGGAGAGGTAGGAAAGCAGGGGGTGAAGTTCCTGAGCATCACCATTCTGCTGGGTTTCGTGTGAGATGGGCTGCTCACCCATGAGGCAGAATATATCTGCTTTCTCTTTTTTCTTTTTAATTTCCTTTTTTTAGTTTGTTTCCTATTGCTTGGGTTTTTCTGTCAAGTCAGTGAGTTCAATCAGTCCCCCTCCAGACAGCAGGTGCAGACAGCTCAGAGAGGGCATCCAGGGGCAAGGAGGGACTCAGGAAAGGTATAAAGAGGGAATTAGGAAATGGGAAGAGCTGTGAGACTATGTGTCCCAGCTCATGCAGCTTCATCCTGAACCTGGTGGTGAAGAGGCTGTGCTGGTAGCCTTGGAGCTGAGGTCTCAAGGTCTTGCCATGGGTGTTGGTGGATTCTACTTAGAATCCAAAAATAGTCATGTGCAAGGCAGGAACAGCAAAGTACATCCAGGTAGCATGCACAGCTCCCATCCCAGCTGCTGTTAGAGGGCCACTGGAGAACGGGGGTTACAGTGTTTACTGTGATTGTAGCAACTGCTCTGTTATACTTGTGTTTCTCTGATTGTTAATCCATGGCCTCCTGGCTGTTGATTTAAATACCTTTTTGTGACATTTGGAAATTAATGGAGCATGCTGACCCAGAAGAAGCCTCTGAAAGGCTGTCTGATTCGATATGCATAAATCAGAGCCTATTCATTCTTACATACAATCCCTTGCTTGTGTAGACATGGCTTCTGTAGCAAAAAATAGAGATAAGTAGAAAAAGCTTCTCAAGAAGAAGACTCTTTGTACATGCTGTGACAGTCAGGAAAGGGATTAATCATGGCAAAGGTTCCCCAGCATTTTTTAAAGTGCATGATTGTCATGGTTTAAGCCCTGTCGGCAAATCAGGCGCACAGTTTCTACTCCCCGCCACTTCTTTCTTCCCTTCCCCCCCCCCCCAAGGGGATGGGGAGGAGAATTGAAAAAATGTAACTCCCATGGGTTAAGATAAGAACAGTCCGGTAACTAAGGTATAACGCAAACCACTGCTGCTACCACCAATAATAATAATGATAAAAGAAATAACAAGGGAAGAGAATACGATACCACCCACCGAAACGAGCCTGATCGAGCAGTCAGTGCCCTTCTGAGTAACTCCCAGTTACATCCTGGGCATGACGTGCTGTGGTATGGAATACCTCTTTGGCTAGTTTGGGTCAGGTGTCCTGTCTTTGCTTCCTCCCCTCTTCCCCTTCTCCCTGGCAGAGCATGAGACTCAGTCCTTCACCAGACTAAACATTTGAGTGTTATCAGCTCTGTTCCCAGGCTGAAAGTCTAAAAACACAGCACTGTACCAGCTACTAAGAAGGAAAAAAAATGACTGCTACTGCTGAACCCAGGACAATGATGCACAGTGACAATGGCAGCTGCTCCTTTCCATAGTGCAGCTGAGGAAACATTGCCTGCAGTAGCAAAACTTCTCATTGGTAAGGAACATACTTGTGCTGCTCTCAGAGAGACCATGACACTTTCAGCCTTTACGTTTCTCCAGGGGAGGCTCTTGAAAAGTGTGAGTTAATAAGGTGTTATGCTTATGTATGGTGCCACAGAATGGTGTGTTACCTGTAGATTTGATCATTCCTGTAAGCTAGAACTTGTGAGTTATGTGCCTCTGAAGGAACATACTTCAGATTAGGGGCTTGGGACATAAGAAAAGGCTGTCTTTGACCAGTATTAGGCTGCCTAACTTCTTGTACTTCCATGTTAGTGGGATCAACAGCCTGTCCTGGAGTATTTATGCATGCCCTTTCTCTATACCTTTCCATCCCCTTACCCCCCCCAGGATTTGCAGAGAAAGAGGGAGGCTTTTCTCCTGCTTCACTGAGTATGTTGCTATAGTGCTTGTGTAACTTAGATAAGGCAAAAGAGAACTCACACCGTTCA